TTTTTATTCTGGGATTTATTTACCTTCTATAATTGAAACTTTGTAGCCTTGAGAGGAGCTCAGAGCCGGCCAGGGCAGGTGGGAGGGAAGCCTCCTGCTCGCTCCAGCTCCGTGGCCACAGCCAGCTGAAAGCAGGTATCTGGGGTTTATTTACCTTCTATAATTGAAACTTTGTTGCTTTGAGTGAAGCTCAGAGCAGCCCGCGGCGGGAAGCTTGGCTTCCTCCATCATTGGGGCAACCAAGCCTCCTAATTGCTCCAGCACCGTGGCTGCCGGCTGCCATCTTGGTTGGGTTAATTTGCATATAGTTGGTCTGATTGGCAGGTGGGCGTGGCTTAAGGCATAGCGAAGGTATGGTCAATTTGCATGTTTGTCTTTTATTAGTGTAGATATATTTCTCAAATAGACTTTTGATTCAGGTCATCATGGAAAACATCCCAAACTTCAAACCCAAAATTTTTGGTTGGTGTGAAGAAAGCTAGACAAGTTCTGTTTCTTCTCTTGGTGAAATAATAAAAACGCAAATGAATCATTGTTAAAAAAAAAAAAAAAAAGATTTAAACCTGTGTCTATATTCTTAGCATTGTACCCTGTGGGTGGTTCTAGGATCGAGATCTTGTGTGTTCTTCATACTTTACAGAGTCTGTCAAAAGATGAAGGTATGAGCCAAGGTTTTTCCCACCTGTAAACACAAATGCACTTGATGCTAAGTTTACCTTTACAAGATGCCTGGCAAGTTCACTCAGTCCAAAGCACAATTCCGATGAGGTTGAAAGGTGTTCCTAAGCCTCTCCTTTAAGGGACACATGCCACCTTACTACAAGTGAACATACACTAGTCAGTCACCGTACCTTTGTTGTTGGCAGCTGGCTGACACCATCAGCATGCTCTGCGAGTGCAGAATGCTCTGGGCCTGAGTGGAGTCATGCCTGCATTGGTTGGGGGGACCACAGTGCGAGGAGAGAACAGGGAGCGTGCAGAGATGCAGGAAGATGAGGAAGGTGGCCCTCTGGCCAGGAGAAGAGGCAAGAAGAGGATGCTGGCAGCACCCATGGTCCACAAGCACCATTCCTCTCCACCTCGAACTCCCAGGACTCCAAGAGTCACCCCAGGAACCTCTCTAGCCACCCCCGCCTGCTCCACCCAGCTCAGCAGGCATATCTTGTTTTTGCCACAGTTACAGCATGTCCCACAATTCCATATCCTCAGCCCTGGGGAGTTCAGGGGGAGCTCTGAGACATTAACTTGCCCAGTGCAGACAACTCAGGCTGTGGAGTGACTTCTCTAAGAACACCTGACCCTTCAAAGCCACGGTTTTCCAGGTATTTCATTACAAAAATATATGCACTCATTTTATTCATAAGAGTTCCTTAAAAGAGGTAAATCAACTATGCTATTAACCCAAATATTCAACAAACATGGCCACTGTGCCAGCCATGGTCCCAAAACACAGCCTTAGGCAAACATGGTCCCTGCCCCTAGGAAGCTACATCTTAATGGGGTGACAAGCCCGACGTCATTTACAGAACTAGCTGGGTAAAGTTGTGAGGGTGGCTATGGCAGAGCTGGACAAGTGCTGGGGGAACAGAGCATCCGCCTGGCTGCTGTGGTCCACAGCATGGGTTGGTGAGGGGCTTGGAGGGAGGGTTGAAGGGCTGCAGTACTGTTCAGAGGAGGGTGATGGAGGCTCAGATGGTGCTGCAATGGCCAGGAGAGGGATACTAAAGTTCAAAAAGTGAAATGTAGTAAGAGCTAACCACGCAAAACTTTAAAGCATTTTTTAAAGTTTTGCTTTGCTCTATGTTTCAGATTCAACGCAGCAGCCTTCATGAGCCAGAAGGAAAAACCAGTCATTTTGAAATCAACATCCAAGGGAGGACAGAAAGAATTCTGGAGTTTGGAAATGGCAACAACAGATGATCACACACACACACACACACCCCTGCTTCTCCGTCACATGCTTTATGTGAAATGGCAGCCTAGGCCAGCACCTCACGGCAGCTTCGATGATTTAAGGCAAATGCAGTGCTCTTGAGATCACACTGCTCTTATCCACTTCATCAACAAAGGGTCACTGAACACCTACTGTGTGCCATACATTTCTCCCGGGCACTGGAGAGACAGCAAAGAGCAAAACTGAGCCCATGCCCTCAAGAAGCCCACATTTTAGTGGAGTAGAAAGACCCCCCAAAAATAGAAACCAGATAAAAGTTACAGTGTGTCATATGGTGATAATCACTGTGAGGAAAATACAGCAGGGAAGGGAGAGGGGAGTATCTGGATGGGGTTGGTGTAAATGTACGTAAACGGAGAAGCCCTCACTGGGAAGGTGACATCTGAGGATGTGGGGAAAGCCCTCAGGACACCTGGGGAGAGCTTTCTCCACAGAGGACTAGCCAGTGCCAAGGTCCCAAGGCTGCAGCAGCTCTACACTCACAGCAGGCCTGTCCCTCCAGACAAACCCCTGGGTGCCAGGCAGGGACCTCAGCACCCCTGAAACACCCCTTCTGGGCACCTCTACCCACAGGAGTGGGAGCCTGAGAAACAGGGCTGCCCGTGAGGACCCAGGCACCTCCTGTCTGATGACAGCCTAACCAAGGCTGTACTGTCCAGCATCAGTCCAAGGCTGAGATGCTAGTCGCTACACCACCACCGCTGCAAAAGCACCCAGCAGTGTCCCCTGCACTCCACACTATGGGCACGATGACACAGGAACAAGTCACGAGCAGCCTTCCTCCTTCGTGGGATTCCTTCCTGCCTCCGCCACATGAGCCAGCCAAGCACCTCAGCGCAAGACCAGTCTCAGGGACTCTCCCAGATGGAGATGTTTACAGGGTAGACTCAGTGCTTCGTGCTCTCTCTTCCCACAGGCATAACTCACTAGCATGGGTATGTTTAATAAATAGTTTTACTTCTGCAATTAAAGAAACTGGTGGTTGCAATATTACCTTGTAAAGCATTTAAGCATCAATTGTGAAACGAAAAGAAAAAAGCCCTCTTCCAGAATGAAAACTCCAAATGTTTATTTATACTATAGGTGTTATTCTAAAGGCTAATTTTAGAAAATATCTTGAGAAGGAATTGAGCTGCACAAACAGCATCTGACACCTCCAGGATCTGGAATACACTTGCTGACCAGTGGTCATGGGTGGCAGTGAGGGCTCCTTGAGGCATCCCCATCCAGCCTGCCAGCCCACAGGTCCTGTGGGTGAGTCATTCCCTCCCAGCACACCTCTATTGTACTTCTGGTTGCTCAATAGCTTCTGAAATTTCAATCTCAGGAGAGAGAAAAAAAATGTAAACCCTCATCCAAGGATATGTTCAGAGGGAGAGGGGGAGAGGGAGAGAGGGAGGGAGAGACAGATACACACTTGGATAGGTGCCTCCCCATATGCACGCCGATGGGGGATCAAACCTGCAACCTTTTGGTGTACAAAACAACGCTTCACCAACTGAACCACCTGGCCAGAGCTCTCTGGAAAAATTTAAAGCAACAAAACCCTAAGTGTGCCATTCATTTATCCCTGTCCTCCCTAATAAAATGGAGCTGGTCACAGAGACAGTCTCAACTATGCGGCCCTCTGCCTGGTCCTGCAGGCACCCAGTTACCATGAGAGTTATGATCATTGGCCTTTCTTACACACAGACATGCATGCATCCCACCCCAAATGCAAGCCCCTCAGGGCCACCCGTGGCTCTCCATGGCCACAGCCCTACATCAATGCCACGTCTTTCCCACCAGGAGTCTCCCACAGGCTGTGCCCCAGCCCCACTCTTCCTCCCCTACTTCCCACTAACAGCACCACACCCATCTCCCTACTTCCCCTCAGATAGGACCCCTGCTGTGCTTCTCTCTCTTACCTCCTATGTGCTCTCAGGACAAGCTTCTGTAACTTCACTGCCACTGAGAATCAGTGCTATCAAGAACAAGGAAGGACGCCTGTTCTCAATGACCTTGGTTAGGAAGCGTCAGCCATCGACATCGGCACCTTTGGAGTCTCTGGAAAAGTGGGTCTCACCATGTCCCACAACTCCACTCAAGGTAAACCTTCTACACCCTCTGAGTGTGTCATGGTGAACCTGTAAGTAGGACTGCCACCTGCTGTGCTCACTCCACCTTTTCAGAGCAGGCACAGGGGGGTTTGGAGACCATGACAACCACCCCTTCGCAAGGGCATCTCTGACAGGAAGACAAAGACCAGTTTCAAACCACTGACTTCCAAATGTACTTGAAGTAGAGTCATATGTAAACTGGGCATTTTCTGTAGACTTCAATTTATTTCACACAATTTGTAAATAAGAACTTAAGAGTTTTAACTTCTTTGACTTTTTGAGTACTGGGTTCAGCAGTCTCCTCTTAGAAGTAGAAACTCTCAAGGGAAAATTACTTTGAGATCAAATTACATTTTCATAGCCACCAAAAACATATCAAGGCGCAATTTAATTATGGAATACCTTGCTTAGCCACTAAGAGAGTTTAGGAAAATACCAGCATCAAAATATCCAGTATCCAATATTCAAATCCGGTAAAGGTAGCAAACATTTTGGCTGACAAATAGATTGAAATGCAAATGAATTTGGGGCAAGGAAACAAATGACCCAAGGGTATTTTTGGATTTCTTTTTCCCCATGCAATCAAGTCTCACAGTAGACACCTCGCCCCCTCCATAGCTGCAGACAACAGCTTCCATCACCCTTAAAAGATTAACTGCCAGGCAGATGGAAGCTGATTTTACAATACAGAACCATGTTCTTTAAATGGCACACCTCCCCCAATTCTCAGTGGCGATGAAGTTACAGAAGCTTGTCCTGAGAGCACATAGGAGGTAAGAGAGAGGAGCGAGGGCTGTGTTGCACTGGGCAGATGAGGAAGTGAGCCCTGAGTCAGCGCCAGGAGGCCAAGGAGTTGAATTTGGGAGTAGAAGGTTGACTGATGTTTCTCAGATCCCCCTGCATCTTTATCTGTCTCTGTGTCTTTCTCTCTTTAGGAAGGATAACATGCAAATTAAGCAAGGATTTCACATGAAGACTGAGCTTGGGGATGTTGAAGCTAGACTCAGGGTCAGTGCACTGAACAGTCTTTCATTCTGAGGAAGCCTTTAGATCTGCACAGGGACCAACAATTCAAAGCTAGAGGCCTATATACCTCAGGGAGTTCAGCAGCTACAACTGGATTCTTTAAATGTGTCCTGGCTCTTAAGAGTTCTTTTAAGTTTCTACAGACCTGCTGAGGAAGAATCTAATTGTAGGGTATCACACGAGTGGAGCTCCAAAAGCTTAATCTCTAGTTACTAAACTGTGTAAGCCTTTTGCATATGAACTAGTCATGGGTCTCGGATAGACAATCACAGTTACAGGTACAAGTAGAGAAGGGTTATTGCTGAACTGTTAGAACACACACTCTGCCCAGCTGAGCACTGATCCTCACTCGCTGCCTCACCTTGAACAAGTTATGTCATCTCTCTGTGGCTCAGACCCTTTACTCATAGTCAGGGATAAGGAGAACGGGAACTCCCAGGCTTGCTCCGAGGATTTAACGAGTGAACGTATGAAAAGTACTCAAGCTGACTGGAAGGGAGCGTGCGAGGAGCACTTTTAACATTAAATAGCACAGAAGACACAGACACAAACTTTCTCCAACCAGGGACCATCAAATCATAAAATAAGCCCCTCAGGCCCTTTCCAAGTGTTGTTTATTCATCTGTAACTAAAACCGAGTTAATTATATACTGTATTACGAGGCCCAATTCTAACTGTGAGTCACAGAAAACAATATAGGAAGGCTGAGCTCCCCTAACACACCAGCAGAGGAATCAACATCAAAATCAGGGCCTTGTATGGTCAAGAATCAAGATACTGTCACAAAGCTTAGGGCTCCAGCCAGCAAGAGGAACGTGCCCAAATTCAAGAAAGTTAAGCTGCCTTTAAGTGCTGCCTGGGTGGAGTGTGCTCTGGAGGTGTGAACGCACCAGGACAGGTACGTTCCTCTGGGACCCTGTGTAAAAGGGGTGGGAGGCTGCCATCAAATCCAACCAGCTCAGCCCTCAAGGGACTCTGCTCTCAGGTCGGCTGTGCTCACTGACAAAGAACTTTCTGCTAAGAACTTTCTTTCACCCCAAGAATTTCACAAAGTGAGGCCCAGCACAGAACACCAGTCAATGGTAGGGACAGTGACCATGGCTGCCTCTCCCATACCCAGACTCTTTTGAGCATTTTGCATATATATTATTACAGTTACTCTTCAAAACAACTCTTGGTGTGAAAACCACTGGCATTCTTTTCACAGATGGGGACACTGAGGCACAGAGCAGGTCCTTGTCCATAGTCATATGCTCACCCATATTCAAACTCCTTGCCTCAACCCCTTCCAGTTAGTACCAGTTAGTAGAGAGTCTGGGTGATGCTGATACTCTGTGTCAGCAGGGACCGAGGAAGGGGGGCCCTAACTGGCAGGGCCTTCCTGGGAAGCATTTAGGAATCACCACCATATCATTCCTTGGGCTCTTGCCCTTCGGACCTGGCACATTCGTCTACACAGAATCCAGCTGAAACAGTCAGAAATTCAGAATAAGACTTATATTAAGGAAACATTCATTAAGAAATGACTCCTAACAACTGGAAATGGCTTATGTAAATGTCCACCAGTAGAACAATGGCTACTCTGGTTCACTTAGAGAGAGGAGTACTAGGCAGTGTTCGAAAATGTGAAGTGAAAAAAA